GGGGGGGGCGCAACCACACAACCTCAGCAACCTCCTATCATGCCTCTGCCCCTGGGAGTCAGGCCTGTGGCTGTCACACGTTTGCATTGCCTCATGGGACTTGTAGTTCCACAACAGTCGGAGTACCGAGCTGGCCCACCCCTGCATTGTTAGCAGTTTGGTGTACGGAACCTCGGCGCCTCCACCATCCACCTATAGTAAATGAAAGATGAGACTGTCAGAGGTGCTTTATGTGCAACAAGAGAGATCAGATTGATCAGCCTCTGTCCTCTCCCGTGGTTAAAGCTGAACTCCAGACGCATTACACCTAACAACGCAGCTCAGAATTTCCTCAATGCATCCCTAAATGCGTCCTGTCTTTGACATGCAAGCAGTGTAAGCCATTGAGCTTGATGTGGTGTCACCCCCTTGTAGTCCCTGTACAGCAGAGAGGGAGAAGCAGCACCACGTGCTAGTCAGTCGTGCTGCAGGGCTCACGGATGATGAGGGTTGCACCGATACTAGTATCGGTATCTGTGCCGATACCGAGTATTTGGGCTACCGATGCCTATCCCGATACCGGAACTTCATCAGGAAGTCATTACACGCCGCCCGGTTTCCAGATTGGTGATGAAGAAGCGTGGAGCCAGCTTCCCCGCCAAACAGGAAGCTGGGCGGCGTGTAATGACTCACCGCCCGGCTTCCTGATTGGTCGGGAAGCTGGCAAATCAGGATGCCGGGCGGCGAGTCATTACCCGCCCCCCCCCTGCTTCCTGATTGGCCAGAAAGTCAGCTCTATGCTTCCTCGCCACCTGGTGATGAGGGAGCATGGAGTCAGCTTCCAGGGCTAATTAGGAAGCCGGGGCGGCATGTAATTTCTCGCCGCCCGGCTTCCTGATTGTTTGGGAAGCTGGCCAATCAGGATGCCAGGCGGCGAGTCATTACACGCCGCATGGCTTCCTTAAAGGAAAATTATGAGGCGAGTGATTTTCACAATGAAACTGTCACACGTCGGCACAATAGATCGGGAAGTGAGCGAACACATACCGTCACTCGCTCACTTCTCGATCCTGTCCCTGCAGAGAGCCGTGACTGTCACTCACGGCTGCCTGCAGGGATTCCCCCCTCCCCGCTCCGATCCTCCAGCGCTGACTGGCGGAACGGACGGGGGAGGGGACGGGTACAGCTGGCTCTGCCTCTAGATAGGCAGAGCCAGCTGTCACTCACGCAGCTGGGCGGATCTCGACATAATTGTCGGAATCCGCTGCGGCGTCTCAGTATACCGCGAGCTGTAGCTCCCTATATACTGAGCCTAGGGTGGCGGGAGGACGCTAGTTTGTGTCCTCTCGTGACCCTTAGGAGAACTATGGGGAAAAACCCTGACCCCATACTTCTCCTACCGCTAGCGCTGATTGGCGGAACGGACGGGGGAGGGGGCAAGTACAGCTGGCTCTGCCTCTAGATAGGCAGAGCCAGCTGTCACTCACGCAGCTGGGCGGATCTCGACATAATTGTCGGAATCCGCTGCGGCGTCTCAGTATACCGCGAGCTGTAGCTCCCTATATACTGAGCCTAGGGTGGCGGGAGGACGCTAGTTTGTGTCCTCTCGTGACCCTTAGGAGAACTATGGGGAAAAACCCTGACCCCATACTTCTCCTTTAATGGGACTTCCGGTATTGGTATTCGGGATCAGCGAATACCGGGGGGAAAAAAATACGGGTGCTCCATACCGAAAATCCAGCATCGGTGCATGATGATAATGGCGGCTTTCTGATCTCTTTATTTCTCCCATTCCCTGCCTCATGTTTGGAACGTCAGAGAGGCGGGTCTACATTCAGGTGGAAGCGTGAACGAGCCCCGAGTCGTGTGACCATGACAAGGTATGACCTGTACATGTTTACCGTTGCGGTCACGTGTTTGCCCAGCGAGGCTTCACGCAGGCAGAAAATCTTGTTCTGCTTTAGAGGAGCGCTTCCGTTTTTCCGCCTAAACTCTGGAGTAACGCTGGCGCGCGTCCAAGTCTGCGTCGTCTTTATTAATCGCCCGCGCACAAGGCCGAGATAGTAACGAGCCCCGCGACGGCTGGAATTTACTGTACAGAGTCTTAACATTCACACAGCGTGTTTGGTGAATGTGCGGCATAAACATTGGCCGCTCTTCCCTTTATGGACTTTGCAGCCACAAGATTCCAATCTCAGCCGAAGGAGGTCACACGGCGTTCCCGTCATCGATTCCCATTATTCCTTTCTGCTCGTTTATTGATTCTTTTCTGTGATCCGCTCTTCTCTTTTTCTCGGTTCAGTTCGATGTTTTATTAAATAACAATTAAAGAAAACAAATATTTTCCCACATGCCACAAACTGATCCCAAGTGTTAACCCCTTCATGACTGAGCTAGTTTTCAGGTTCTGTTCATAAATGACTGACACATTTTTTACATTTTTGCTGTGTGGTTCTTCCACAGCAGTAATATACTTTCTTACAAGAATCGTCGCTTTATCTGACTGATACAATGTAATGGAGGTGGAATCTTGGAACCTGTCTGTCCAATCAGGAGCCAGCAGGAAAAAATTTTTAGGCACCAGCTTCATTGACTACAAATAGAGAAAACCTCAAAAGTTAGCCGGCTAGAAGTTTTAAAGATCATTGGTTGCCTGGTACTTCCAGCCTTGTATTATATGGCCAAATGTATGTGGACTTCCTCCAATGAAGGTTCTGTTCAGTCTACATCACACAAAGACATTGTAGACCCTGTGCAGGGTGACTGGTCTTGTCTCTGCTCCCTCCTGTAATAAAGACCGATCGCGGCTGCTCTCTCACCTTGTGCAAGGTGACCGGTCTTGTCTCCGCCCCCTCCTGTAATAAAGACTGGTCACTGTTG